AAACGTCTAGTCATCTAATGGCCAGTGATTTCACTAATTTCTCATTGGCCAAAAACTAGAAAAATAAACGGTTTCAGAATGCAGATAGAACAACAATGTGCAATTTTAGGCACTTGAGTACTACCACAGTTTGCTCTTGGTGTCAGTGTGCAGTGGAGCATACTGCAGAGACCCTGAAGCTGGAAGTATACTTGGTATAACCACAGCACTGCATCCCACTGGATGACTTGTGCCCCAAACATCCTTTCTGTCCCATGCTAACCAAGACACCTGCAGGAAAGTACATTGTAATATTTTTAGAATATAGTTAAGAGACACCCAACTTTTTCTCAGAAAGAGAATTTACAGATGAAAAAGGCTAAGCTGATCTGTCTGATATAAAGTGTCAAATATTCATGGAGAAGGGAAGACTGGAAGAGCAAACATCCTTACTGTTGTAGATTGGAAGGCCTATCCTAAGCCATCAAGTCCAAATCTCTGGTATCTTGGACAAACACACATGAATTCTCATTCCTGCACTCAAAGTCCATTTCAAAAACTAGTTCACTCTTCCTGAGAATCTAATCTAGAACCTGATTCCTCTGATGGTAAAAACTGTCTTCTCGTATCCAACATAAACTTTTATCTTAAAGTCACTACTTAGTTCTCAAATTGCCTGAGTTATGATCATTCAGCTAACCTGCCAGTCAAGGTCTGTCCCAGCTTGTAATAGACCTGCATTGTAACTAATACCTTTTGGTCTCAGTAGCAACCATAATTTTATTTCCATGCAACTTAGTTAATAACTAATAGCTCTTTTTTATATATGTTGAGCATGACACTGATGGCCACTTATGGATTAGGACAGGATGGGGGCAGGAGAGAGAGAACACTTACAGGCTGGACAGAAAAAGAAAGATCAGGAATAAAGAGACAGATCTGTGAAATGTCAGTATATGACATTCATCTGTGCCAATGCGTTTTTAGATGACATTAGCAAAAGACACAGCAAAAAAGGAGACTTCCACAGGAACTGGAGGCTATATAAGCTACTCGAAAGGATATGTTAAGAAGTGACAAAAACAGAAGAAAAAGTAAGATGACATTATCACAGAAATCATGGGGAAACAAGATTAAAAACCAAACCAAACCAAAAGCATGGTCACTTTTACCACAGATTCCTGACAGGCCAAGAAAGGAAGACAGCACTCTTCAGAGGAAGTCATTAAGCATTTTGTCTTGCACAAAATGAAGGCAGAAGATTTGTCAGAATGGATGCCACTACAGGGAACCCCATCAAATAAGTATGAAGAGTGGACTTCGGGAGTTCAGAGACGAAAGAGAAAGGAGAATCAGGATGATATCTGGAAAAGTAAGAGGTCTTATTTGAACTGAAAGAAGCCTTTTTGAACTGTGAGAAGGGAGAAAGATGAAGAAAAGCGAGAGGCAGGAATGGAGTCCTTTAACATCAACCTCTGTGCTAGTCAAACCCACAGGTTCTGTGTTTTTCTTCTAAATTAGAAGACAACTGCTGAGCTATCAAACACACAGTAATAAAGATGTTTAAAATCTTTGCTGACTTAATTATTTTCTCTTGATTGTGCTGCATGTTTCTCACTAGCAAACAATTTGATCAGGCTAAATTTGCATTGCTGGCAACTATCACCACCAGCCCAACTTGCAAACAGAATTTGAGTGTAAAATCTATTTTCCTTGTGAGTGCTGGAGAAATAGAAGTGGTGAAGCCTGGTTAACTATAAAAATAAGTGCAATTTGGCTGATTGTGAAAAAGAAATCCAGTACCATTAAGAATAACTGTGGGCCAGATATCGAAGATTCTTCAGTAGTTTTACAAACTTCATAATCTAGTTTACCCTTGAAGTAACATCTTTATTCAGATAAAGGATTTCCTATATGTTGCTGGCGGGGGAACATGGTGTGTTTCTCAGGAACAAAAAAACCTCAAATCCTTAGCTGGGCTTAGAATAAAAGTTCCCTCATACCATTGACCAGATTCAAATAGCTAGTGTTAAGTCAAATACAGAAGATGGAGAGAGGTTCTCTACATTCCATATAGCATCAAATTCTGGAACTGCTTTCAAACCGCCTTTCAGGCTTCCTCACAAAAATGATAATCTTACCATTTATATTTCATTACTGATGTACTATTTGCAAAAGCTCCAAAAGAAGAACCATAAAAAATAAAACTTTTATGACCGCTCAAATCAGTGTCAAAGAGGACAATTTTGCACCTGGAAGTATTATTATATCACTTCTGATATTATGGAAAAGCTGGTCACAGTTCCACAGTTATTATGACTGAATTCTACAATAAAAGCAAGGATTCCGCTTCTTGACTTTACAAGCTGATGGATAAAAGTTATCCTTCCTGGAATCCACTAAAAATTTACAAATATATCTCATAACCCACCCAAATAAATAATCTGTAAATGAATTAAGGCATATATCAGTATCAGACTTTGTCATCCAAAAGAAATCACACTCTTCAAAAATGTTCTGTATACTCAACAGTCTCTAGAAAGACTTTACCACAAGAAATTAAGAGGTAGCTAAGCAAAAATACTAGTGATTTTTAAATTTTATTGTCCTGATTGTCCACATCAAAGTCAGGCCAACACCTCTGTTTTTAAGTGGGATAGAACCAAAATGGTATCATCTGTTTCACATAGTAGAGTTTTATTATTTAAATGTGCCCATAATATAAGAGAAGCTGGACTTGCATCAAGAGTTCTCATCAATGGATGACCTAGCTGCAGTGTCACAGGCAACCAATGGTTTTATTCCCACTTGTCCCTATTCTCTTCTCCTACTGGGCCTACTTCCTCAGTGTTTGCTCCCTTCAAAGCTGTCTTCTACTACTGTAGCAATGAAGCAAATGCAAGATGGTCATCAGATGATCATATCAGCAGCATGCAATGTATTCCTTGTCTACACAGAAAGGATGGTTTATGGACTGTCTCTTGACTGACTTTTGTTACTAATTAGATGGTTCATCATAGAAGATTTCTTCTATGTGAAGAGTTAAAGATAGGATTACTGCACTTGAGTTCTTCTGAGCACGTTTCCAGGGAATAATTGATTTCACTTTTTTCTTTGGAACAATTACCCAAACGTTAATAGCTTTTGCTGCAGTAGTTACCTTGTTAGATTCTTCAGCCAAACACGTACACAGGCTAGCGACTGGCAAAACAACAATGAAGCATCTGCTTTTCTGTTTGTCCTCTTCTCGTCACATTATGTCAGATAAGTAGTCATTCCTACATGTTCTCATCAGACATTAGGAGGCTGGAAGAATCCACAATTTTCCTACTGTTGTGACTGGACTGAGCTACAATGAGCAATATCTACACATGGTAAATTTTGGTGAATATAAACTTTTTCTTAGTGTCTTCTTGCAAAACTAGGTCTTGGAGATCATTAACTTATCAGAGCTCTAAGTCCCAATGCTCTTAAGAGTGCTGTATATCATTACAGCCACAGCATGAAGCCACAGCAAGACCTAATCAGACTGTGCACACTCTAAGCAAGGTCAGTGAACATTCGAACATAAAGTTAAGAAAAATTTGGGGATTTTAAAATCAGGCCTACTCATTGAAAAAACAGCACAACAAAGTCTTGTCTTGTCCAACTGATAGAAATCTCTCCAACAGTAGCTGAGCTCATCTAGGCCAAATACTGCAGTGACAAAAGCTTTCTGTACAACTGATTCATCACACAAGTCTTCTCAAATAAATACTCACAAGGAACTTTTTTCCAAATGGAAAGTATTATTAAAAAAGTGTAAGGCAGACAGAGTAAATAAATACGACATTTATGACTAGGATAGAAGTGCACTGACACAAACGTAAACAGAAAGAAAGGAAATATACAGTATCCACCGAAGATAACTAGCTTTAAAATTGCTTTTGTTATAATATTGCTTAGATTAAAACAGAATTTAAGTCCGCTGTTTTGATAAAACACTAGAGAAATATATTTTTGCAAGACTTATGCAAAAAATTTCTGAAGACAGAAGTGGGCCAGTGGTTGGCAAATAGGTGAAGGAATCGGAAAAAGGATACTGAAACTTTCCACTTATCTGCTTGAACCCACTAAAATGTGCTTGCAAGAGATGACTGAACGTCCTTCTTTCTCCTCTTTCCCTTTCTTCACTGTCTTTCATCTCTTTTTTTTCATCTGTTCTCTGTTCTGCTGTTAAGATCTTCCTAGAACTTGTAGTGAAATTTGTCATGGGTGTTTTCATCAGATTCAAGAATAAAAAAAAGTGAACAGATGTGATTTTACTGCAGTCTTTTGCGCATTTTTCTTCAACTTACGTGCAAGCAAGCGTACTCAAAAAGGTGCTTTCCATAGACACACTGAGATGCAAGAGCGGTCTGTGATCACATCTTTATTATTTTACTTTGTATCTAGTAGACTATTTTGTATACTAGAAGTTCTGTCTTTACGCGCAACTCCTTAATGACACATTCACTAAAATACAGAGCTGCATAATCTTCACATATACTGAGAAGTATATGCTGTGTAATCCATATCTGAAGCTAATGCAAGTACCAGATATATTTTTACTACCATTACTATTGAAAAAAGATGCTCAGCTTCTATGAAAATAGCAACATTTTTAATATCCTATTCTGTAGGAATTAAATAAATATGACCTGCACAATCAGATCGGATGTTTAGCGATTCTGATATTCTGTTTGCGATCAAGTAGACATTTCCTCTTCTGTATGCATTAGTAAAACAACCCTGAGGCTGCTAAGCTACAGTTTTAATGGGAAAACAATTTAGGAAAGATTATTATTTTACTTTCTTTACAATGTAATTTAACAGTTCAGAAGTAAGAAAAGCCAGAACGATGAGCCTTGGATCTTATTCAGCTACGCACCAAAGAACAATTACCGTCCAACGCAGTTCCGTTTAAAGATACATGTCAGAGAAATTGCATCAAAAAGCAGACCTCAGTAAGGTAAACTCAGGAACGTTGGTTTATTACCCACCTTAGTTTCTGGTTATACTGCTTGACTTTTTCTAGTGAGGCTGCATTAATCTGAGCTTGAAACTCTTCTACTGAGACACTGTCTCTGTAATAATATCCTTCCATGCTCTCCAGTGCTGTGAAAAGAAAGAGAAAAAGAGAAGAATCAGTATTAAATATTTAGTATTAGCTTTTTTGTAGCTTTGTTCACAGCCTAACAAATTACTTTTTAACCTTGAGGCTCTGACCCCACTGTGGATTGCTGAGCTGCTTCTGTATGTCATCAAATTCATATAGATCTTTCTTTAAGATTGCATTTATAAGAAAAATCTTATTTCTTGCCCTGTGGAAAATATAAAGGAAGAGCTAGTGTCAGTTCTATGGCTTTAATTAAAGTACTTTTGCCCGGTGAATGCAAATGTGGCTTTTAGTTTTGATATAACCCTGGAAAAATTCAGTAAAATGAACCGGGGTAGAGGAAAGAAAGGATTAATATACCAGCTATTTTCACAGACAGAGATGTGACAACTTCTAATGAAGCCTGATTTGGGGAGATGTGGAGCACTTGAACCTCTAGTTATTTCCACCGATAATCTGAATGGCTTAATACTTCTCTGGATCAAGTAAAGCAAAATGAAAAAACTAGCATACTACTTTTAAATGCCTTATAAGTTCCTTTTCAGGGATCAGACACATTTCTAGAGTTAAATATTCAACCTTGTCTGCCTTTGTTGCATTTATTTTACCAAAGGAAGGACGAATATTACTACAGGAAGTCAGGAACTAAACAAAGACTCCCATTAAAGGTCATTGTTCTTCTCATAAAATCACCTTCACAGAAATCAAAAGAAGGAAAAAATGAATATACAACCCTTCCATTTTAGCATGCTTTTCCCAGTAACAGTTTTCAAAAAAAAAAAAAACCCTTAAACTTAAAACTTTTTAATAATTATAATAATTAAACTTAAACTTAATTGAGATACTGAAAGGTGCTGAACCTTTTTTTTACCTAAGTCACATCAAGTCTTTGAAAGACCTCAGAAAAATTTGGACCTCAAATATCAAGATCTTAACATATTCAGAACTTGTTAAGAGATTAACCTTATTATAAGTTGGAAACAGGATGTTAGTGAAACAGTTTTTTTCAAGGAGGAGCAAAAAGATTTTAAAATTAGGAATATTGACACTTAATATATACACATGCTAAGAATTTATCACCCTATCAGAAAATACAAGCTATAAGCAGAGTTCTGAAACATGCTGCGGTCTTACACCTTCAGCTGCACATAGAATATTAATTCTGCTTGTACTGCTTAATATGACCAGTTAATAAATAATTCATTGGTTGTGAAAGAATATGCAAATTGCACTTCCCTTCTGTGCTTTCAAAGTTTGTAATTCTGTTTCTGTACAAAAACCATTAAATTTCAATGGTCAGATTTGCTTCCTAACTTCCTTGGTGCTAAGCCACACCAGAGGGCCCACATAGGAATCCACTGGACTCCATTTATAATACCATGTTAGCACAAACACACAGTTGATTGTGCTTGATTGTTGTAGTGCTTGTTTTGCTGGCATAAATCCAGGGTTATCCAGTGAGATCACTCCCAAACAGCACACTGGATCATCTGTGGGGAATGACTGGAGCACACAGTTCTGCCTCCACAGGCACAATGGGGTCACAGAGCCCTTGCTTGTGGGCCCTAGCATAGTATCCCAAAACGTGGTTTGGCTCTCCCCTTTTTTGAAGGGTATAATGTATTTCTGCCCTACATACTGAAGAGCACTTTCGTAAGGAAAACTTTAATACAAACTGAAACATGTCTTCCACATTATTTTTGAAACCAAGTTAGGATGTTACAGGCCAGATGTGCTGACAACTGGATGTGGAAAAAAAACGGAAGGATGAGCAGAGTACTAGCTGGTGAGACATGTTCTACCTAGAGACTTGTTACAAGCAGAATACCACAGGGATCTATATGGGGTCATGTACTGCTCAATATCTTTATCAGTGACCTGGACAAGGTAACAGAGTGCACTCTTTGCCAAGTTTGCAGCTCACACCAAATTTGGGGAAGCAGTGGATACACTCAAGAGCAGGGCCATCATTCAGAGGGACCTAGACAAGCTGGAGGAATGGCCTGATAGGAGCATTATGAAACTCAACAAGGACAAATGCCAAGTCCTGCACCTGGGAAGGAAGAACCCCTGGTATCAGTACAGGCTGAGGATGGACTGTCTGGGGAGCAGCTCTGCTGAAAAGGACCTGGGGGTCATGTTATACACTGAGTTGAACATGAGCTTGCAGTGCGACCTGGCAGCCAAGAAGGCCAACAGCATCCTGGGCTGTATCAGCAGCAGCATAGCCACAGCCGGTAGACTGAGGGAAGTGATTATTCCCCTTCGCTTAGCACTTGTTAGACAACATCTAGAATACCGGATCCAGTTTGGGGCCCCACAGTAGAAGAAAGATGTTGATCAGCTGGAACAAGTTTAGTAAAAAGAGACCAAGATGATCAGGGACAGGAGCATGCGCCCTATGAGGAAAGGCTGACGGATCTGGGCTTGGAGAAAAGATAGCTTTGGGAGAACCTAATAGCCACTTGCCAGTACCTATCAGGAGATCAAGACAGAGCCAGCCTGGCAATGGTAAATGGTGGCAGGGCAAGAGACAATGGACATAAATTGGAACAAGAGGCTCTCCAATTGGATATAATGAGAAAGGTTTTTCACTATGAGGACAGTTAAGTAAAGGAACTGGTATCCCCAGAGGTTGTACAGTCTCTACCCTTGTGGGTTTTCAAGATCCGACTGGACAAAGCCCTGAGTAACCTGGTTTGATCTCAAAGATGACCCTGCTTTGAGCAGGAGGTTGGACTAGAGACCTCCTGAGGTTCCTCTCAATCCAAATTATTCTATGATACTATGAAAAATTGAAAAATAAAAAACATATATGGATTCATAAAGAAGGTAAATAGCAACTTTAAATACACGGAATTTTAATTATAAATGATATACTTTTAAATTACATTTATTTATGTATTTATTCTAATGTAGGAAAAACAGAAGTATGAATGCCAATAGCAACATCTCGACATTCTAAGGCCCTGATCCTGCAAATGAGTGTCCTTTTGAATGTATACCTTTAAACATATGGTTATACAAATCTGGTTGTACAAGTGGAAGAATGTATAAGATATATAGGTAAAGATTTAGGTAACGATTTCAAAACTTTAAAAAATGTCTACAATTCCAATCCTGCATATACATATACACGTGTTTAATTTTAGGCACGGGGTTACTGAGAGCATGACAGCATGAGTATACTGTAGGATCACCTGTAAAAGACAATAGGTTACACAGAACAGAGCATCACAGAAATATAAGCAGTAGCAGTAGACCTGCACTGACTTGTGGCTTTGACAAACTACTCAAAAAATATGAACTTCTAAATCTTCCATTTGAAAACATCATAAACCATTGTATTTTCAGGCAGGAAACAGCTTAGCTCTGCCAAACTTGGAAAGCAAGGAGTCAACTCAGAGGAATGGTAGCACTTACAGAAGATTTCTCTCTTCAGAACTAATAAATTTCAGGTAAAGATGGGGATCTACTGAGTTAGTTTGATGGCACCTCATCCAAATCTTGGAGGAATGAAGTATAAGCTAGAGTATCAACTCACTCATTAAAAAGGAAAAAAAAGAAAAGAATGAAATTAAATACTAGGATTTCAACTTTTTATCCAGGACTTCTTATTCTTGGGGTCTAATGGATTATTTTTAAGAGGGATCCTTGAAAAGTAAAGAAATTTGATATGATAAAGCAAGAAGATAAAGAACTTTTAAATTGCTGAAAATTATTAAACAGAAGCGACTTTAATCTTTGCCCTTTCCTTTACCTCACTACAGAGATGCTCATCCTAAGAGTGAAACATTTTGGGCCTCAGGAAACAGCAGCAAGGAAAAACAAATTCTGCAAAATAAACTCTAAAGCACACTGAATCCTCCCCACCTCCCCAAGAGAATCTAAACAATGAGTGCTTCAAGATTTCATTTGAATCAAGCTATTTTCTGTTCTTTTTCATGTGCCTTTATTGTTGTCTTCTCTATGGAAATATGTCTGCTGTTCAGTGCTCTCATTTTCCCCTATGGCTGAACTCAATCTATTCAAAAGAAAAATCTATTGCAGTCTGTCTTTATTAGCGTATTTAAACTCAGGCTTTAGACATTTTATTTTAAAAATTTATGTGTTTTAAGTTAAGATATTTCTTCATGTATTTTTTTTTCCTCACTCTTTCCTCCTCAAAATCTTCATTTTTATGTCTGACTTCTGCCTATTCCACATAGACACTGGAAACTTACTTCAAGATACTGAGTACTGTCAGCTCCCTCTGAAATCAAAGGCGGCTCAAGGCAATCTGCACCTTGCAGGACACATTCACCATTTCAGTGAATCAAACTCCATGTTCCTGATGACTATAATGACACTGCAGCTAATGCAGGCTGCCTGCAATTTATGAACAGTCTGAGCATCAGTGCCATTCATCACTTCAGTAATGTTTGCAGTGTCATAACTACAAAAGCCTGAAAAAGTTATCTCCATAACATTTTAAAGAGACAGAATTCCCAGTCCTTATATTTGAAGTAACTGGAAAAGGGGTAAAGGGATAGAGGAGGAGTTAATACTGTATTATTTGGAAAGCAAAATACCTTTAAAAGTGAGTTTCAAGGACTGACAACTGTCCACTAACATGCACACAGAACAAAATAATAATGATGAAGAACATTCATTCTTTGCTGTTAGGATCATATAACAAGTACAAACTTAGAAATATATACCTCTTATCTCTATTTTTCATTAAAATAAATCTGTATTTCTTAAATTCCCATTTTAATTCAAAATTGGTATTAGAAATCCAAATTAAACAATATATTTCAATATGAGCACTATGCCCTTAAAGATAAGAAGAAATTAATCAGAGTAAGTACTAAGGTTCTAGTGAGATTTAAGTGTTATTTGAAAGAATTGGAAAAAAATCAGGTTACCTTGTGAAAAAAGTACTGGGTGAATTTTAAATCCTCCTCCATTCTTTAGCCTTTGCGGAAGCTGTTCAAAATGGTAAGTATCAAGGTAAAAGTAAATCTTCAGGGTTTGCCGGCTTCCTTCTGCTTGGTATGTGATCGGAACATCTAAGAATATAGTACATATTAAAATTTCATTAAAAACAATGCCATTTCCTTTTCCAGAAACTGTTACACCTAAAATTCACGTGGTCAGATTAACACAGATACCATGCAAACACTGCAGGCATAAAGCTAATATATTCACTATTTTACATTACACTTGGTGCTACTGTGGTCACTTCTGCCATATCCATTTTCAGAGAGAAGAAAAACAGCATAAAGCACCGACTGCTGCAAAAATACTAAGCAATGTATGCTGGCAATGTCCCAATTTTATTTCCCAGTGAAACAGAGGAAACTTCTATGTACAGTGCACGGTTTCAAACCACAGGGAGGGAAGCTTCATATGCCTTCCTCATGTGCATAATGTATAAGGTCAGTGTGATATATACTACCGTCTTCTCCACACAGTAAATATCTCTTCACATTTGGCTGGCACAGGGCATAAATAAATATACAGTAGCTACCAGAATTTATTATTAAAATTGGGACTCAATTCAGAAAACAAATGTATTGTGATAGGATATATATAAAATCATAAGAGCACAGTTCATTACACTTTGACAGGCTAAATACCATAATACATCAATTGGCTTAGAGTCCAGTGCAACTTGCAGTATCACTTTGCAATTACAGTGATTCCCCAGCATACATTTTGTATATTATGCAAGGTGACTAATATGTAATGACAATTAGTAAAAATTGATGAAAATATTCTGCTTAGATAAATCTCTTAGAGGAAAAGAACCAATCTAATTCAATTTAAGCTTTGTGTGTATTTTTTCTTTAAGTATCTTTTATATAAATAAGTCTCGGAGTCAAAAGCAGTTACAATAAAATCCAGTGATTTGTATTAATAGTATTTTATGCAGTTTTTACACTGTGTGCACGAATTATTTTGCATCTAAAAAGAAATTATGTCAAAGGAATATTTTCCACATATTTTTGCTTATATTGATCATATAAAACCATAAATGGGAAAACCAAATTTGGTAGTGAAAGCTGCTCATCTCCTGGAGCCACACAGTTGGGACGATTGTGGCGGCAGCTCTTAAACTAGAGGAGAAACAGAGTTTACTGCAATTCTAGCATACGTGGGATTTTCATTTATCTCTGTTTTAACACAGACACTTCAGTTGGGAGGTACAGCAATTTGAACAGTTTGTAACACAGGCATATAATTAGCTCTCCATTAGGAAACCCTCCCAAAACTCCAGTTCAGTATTGTTACCTGCTTGGCAGGGCTTCTTTTTAAAATGAAAATACTTAAAATGAACAGAGACCTTACTTGACCTACATATGAGTAAAAATGATCTTATATAGGCCAGTTCCTACCTCACTACCAGCCCTGCAGTTACCACCCTGCTAGCACACTAAGGGTAGGGCACGCTACTGAATTCTTAGGAGTACAGGCAACTCTCACTGGTAGTTTTGTGGAGGAGATTTTTTTATTCCAGTTTTACTTATTGCAGAAGTTCTCTCACGTGTGGTCTCAGTCCAGCAAGGGAATTGTTTTATAAAAGTTTGATGTTAATCAGCCACGCTTTCTTCCCTTCCCAGGGGAGCTATAAGACTTCGGAAAAAATGTGGGGCTTCTTGCTCACTATACAAAATTCACTGCAGGAAAATCTCCACTGGCCAAAAACACCTAAAAAAGGAGTGGCTGAAAATGAGTGAAGGGTATGAAAACCAGACCGAAAGCAGTCCCTTCCTGAGAAAAGCACTGGGAGGAATGGTTCAACATGTCTCTGATTGTCTCCACCACTAAGTCTCGGAGAAAACAGGTTGCACAATTTAAAGCTATCCTAATAGCATTTCCCTCTTTCTAAACTCTTCCAAGAACTTTTTTGTGTTTCAGAAGGGATGAGCAACATTAAAATACATATGGTTTCAATGCTTCTCCATCTCATCTCAGCACCATTTCCTTGTTAGGGCCTTCAAGCTTGTTTTACACATGACTCTTCAATAACCGCTAGATATTCCAGGGACTTCCCTGATGCAGTCACATACTCCCAGTTGAAAATTCATTAAAACAAACACTTTTCCCCCCTGAGGCTATGAAGTTGCCCAATAATTATTCCGCATTCTGAATGATGCTAGCTCTATGTTAGATAATCTAGGGATATTAGGAGAGCTAAAGATCTACTAATATTCCATAACCCTAAATTGTGCATCATTTCCAAACTAGGATAAAACCCTGTGGGAGGTGAGGTTATGAGAAAAAACATGAAAAATATATAACACATTTCTTAACAGTAAAACTCAGATATTAATTTTAATTACTCACTTGCAACTAGTGGTTCTGGCTCTGACTGTCTGAAGTAAAAAGTAACTTTTTCCAAGTCAAACAGCGCAACCAATGTATCTTCTAGCATGGCTTGCTCATCAGCCTAAAAAAGGCAAGCAATCATATGAGAGCAGGATATAAAAAAAACTACGGAATGTTGCACAATATTTCACTGATGCAATATATAACTTAATTAACTCCAACATAACCTAAATATTTTTGTTTCAACTGATTTTCCACTTGTCCTTTTGCTACTAGTCCAAGATTATTAAAGTGAATGTTATCATCTCACACAGTAATTTAATAGGTAATTGATAGTTAGCATGACTTCCTGTGGCTTTTAATCAAACAATAATGTAATTACTCTTGATGTAAGACACTAGACTTAAGCAGCTTGTCCTTGATACCCAGTCTAGCTTTTGAATTAACATAGGGGAAATCTGAAAAGCAGAAATTCATCTTTTTAGCAAATTTCTTAGAAATACCAGTGCATACCTCCAGCATTTCATTTATAATTAGACTGGAGTTTCATCATGTCCATGATGAACTGGGCCTGTTTAGCCTGGAGAAGAGAAGACTGAGCGGGGGAAACTATCAATGCATATACGTATCTGAAGGGAGAATGTCAAGAGGATGGGGCCAGACTCTTCTCAGTGGTGCTCAGCAATAGGACAAGAGGCAACGGGCACAAACACAGTCAGTTTTGTCTGAACATGAGCAAAAACTTTACAACGAGGGTGGCAGAGCACTGGAACAGGTTGTGGAGGCTGTGGAGAGGTTGTGGAGTCTCCTTCCCTGGAGATATTCCAAAGCTGTCTGGACACAATCCTGCGTAACCTGCTCTAGGTGACCCTGCATGAGCAGGCGGGCTAGATGATCTCCAGAGGTCTCTTCCAACCTCAATCACTCTGTGATTCTGTGATTCTAAGCATCAATAATTGAAAGAGTAGCTTAAAAGTAGTGCAGATTGGAGTGATTTGCACCTATATCTACAAAACTGTAGACACAAATCACGCAGTAGAAATGCGAGTGTTCTGATTTGCCCATATGGTTCCCTTTGTGTAAAACCAAAGAGATGGACAATCCAGCCTAATTTATCATAAAAACTTTAGGAAGAAAATTATTAACTTCTCAGGACACTTTAATGAACCTTTAAAAAAAGGGAATACTCATCAACAAATATAGTTATATTGAGTTAAATACGCAGAACAATTACAGCAGAAATCAATAATCACTTAAAGTAACTGTATTCCATACAACCCTCCCCAGTACATTAAGCTAGCAAGAGCCAAATGCAAGCCTGAAGCATGCATTCCCCCCCTCCAAGAACTGAAACAGTAGAAAAGCAAAGAACAATAAACTAGCTGCCTATAAAATGAAAATAAACTGTAGCTTACTGAATTATAGAAAGGGGAAAAATGTGATTTTCCCCAGTCCATATAGTGAAATAGTATTCTCCTTTGTATTTCTGAAAAAGCAACTCTGCTTGAAATATTTTGTCTCTTGGCTCAATTTATTAAGTCTCTAGGGAGAGGGCAATGTTATCAGCAGAACAGTCTGAAAACTATTCAGTATATTCAGTAACATGGGAAATCTTTGCAGAACTGCTCATTCTTTATTGAACTCTGGCCATAATGAGTGCAATTTCCTTCAAATGCCCTTGTTTAAAATAACACGGACCATTTGTAACCAAAATGGTGCTGAGGAGATATTGAAAAAGTTGCCTTTAAATACTCTTCCCCTAGTTGAGAAAGGTTATCACTGAAGTAACTCAGAACTCCTGTGCAAATACATCTACAGATCTCACTAAAGTTAATTGTGCTTTAAATTCAACAATGCATACTGCTGTCTCATATTAAATGAAAATAGCAAAGTGACATGGATTTGCATTACAAATGAAGTATCTAAAAACTCTAAAAAACAGAAGCATGCAATATTCTCAAGACAACAGTTACTTTGTGATAACATTACAACTAACACATGAGAAAACAGAGAGAGGCACCACTTGAATCTACTCTTCAGCTCCAAGAGCACCAACACCAGGACATGCTCAGACAATGCTCTGCAATAATACTACGGAATAATATTTTATATGATATTTAATTTAGAAATATTTTTATTTTTATTGATCTCTTCTCCTTATAAGTTTATTAGGAAGACTTGTCAGCAATTGGCTACTGAGACAGAAGAGGTAAAGAAAGAAAGGTGTTGATACGAGGAACATTGCCTGTCTTTTATTTGGACTTTCATACAATAAGATGTATGATTCAATCACTAGTTTGTGATGTTTCCCATGCCAAAGCTCAGTCAATTAAACAAAATGTAGACAGACATGATATTAAATGACTTTAAAGCTTAATGGTAAGAAGAAACACTAGTACAAGAAAATCATGTGCCAAAATCTGTTATTTTCACTGAGCAACTCAAGAGGTAGAGAAGACTGCCACAGCAGACTGTGCAGACTGCTTTGCAGTTTTTCAGATTAGCAGGAATCAGTCTGGTACAAGAAGCAGCTTAAATAGCTGAAGAAGCTCTTTGGATAGTGGGGAATTAGGGGAGTATAAAGCCATATCCTTTTTTTTTTAATTGTTTTTTTAAGCCAAGGCTCTTTGTCAATTCTTGTGAGGAAACAGCAGATCTCCAATTACCCTGTCAGATTACAAGGACTTGCTCTGAAAGTAGTAAAATAGACTAGAATATCTAGTTACTAGAGACCTATAGATTTTTCTTTTTATAAAAATAATCAAAAATAGGTATTTTATTTATCTTACAGTGCTGCTTATTCCAAACAAAATCTAGTGACCATGTAACATGACACTCATTCTTAAGGAACAATTATGATAGCTGTGGGGAATCTAGACTAAACTCAGCATCTGCTAGCTCCAAACAAATATAGTACTGGGTTTGTGGATAATGTATCCATTTCCCATATCTGTAATTATCTGAATTACAAACTTCCCAAATAGCAGCTAAATAAGTAACAGGCTAAGCACAAAGGATACAGAAAATTATATTCGTAATAGACTGTTTAACACTACCCCTATTTAGGGTACAAGCATGGGCTGTTGTAATTGCCACATTAGGATTCTTACCAGATTGGGTGACAGCAGTGACTGGAAATGGAGGAGAACACCTGCATTAGCAATCTGCTCCAACCACCTTCTGCTGGCCTCCAGAGTCTCCATTTCATATTCTTTGCTGTTGTCAAACATCTGACTTAAGGCCACCATTAGTTGCTCTGAAAAAGCACAGACTGTGGCCACGAGACTCTGACAGAAGACCATGTCTCGCCTCAGTTGTATCTCACTGTCTGTGACGGGTAAGACAAAAGAAAAGCAAAGCAGAGACAGAGCAGAAGACTAATTAACAGCAAAGTAATTGGGATGGAATTTCTTTTTCTTTACATTTAAATGACTTGTTTTCTAGACAAAGTAAATCACAAGTTTAGAGCCTAATGTCATTCCCAGTTAGCAGCACTCCACAAACAAAACTGTGGAACTTTCCACATTATAATGCCATTTTATAATTCTAAAAAGATATAGCAATGCATTTAAAATCTGAAATTTAAAGTATTTCTTCATAAAGAATGCATGTTTATACTGTTAATTTTAAGGTACTTGCCATCAACTCTGTGTACTTTTGATGTTAAAAAGTGATGGATGAGTTGGAACTCTTTACTGAGAACTTGCTAGGCACAAGCAAGTGCTGGCTTGTGAGAACAAGCTAGGCACAAAAACACTTGCTTTCCACATGAAAGCCAGGACAGTCAGAAGCTTTTAATGTGACTAGGTCTCCCAGTCAGCTCTACACCGCCCTACCAGGTGGGTAGAGCTGGTGAAGACTAGTTGGTGTAAACTGTAGAGAAGGAACATGAGAGTGTTGCTAACCAAACATAATCTATTTAAATATAAATATAATATGAAATATATAAAATCGGCACAGAGCAGCACCACATATACAGGGAGCAGCAGAGGTTTATGGAGTCAGGAAAGTCCAAGACAGGCTGGTAGAAGGCTGGTAGAAGACAGGTAGAAGACAGAGGCACAGGTAACTGGAACTATTAGCAGCTGATTTAAAACAGATTGCCCAAGGACTAGATAACCTATCAGTTTTTTCTGAAGGGCACAGGCATATGATTAGCTAAAAGTCAACAGAGTTATAAAGGAAAACAGAACAAAAAAAAAAAAACAGGTAACTGAAGGTCCTGGGACATTCAGTTCCTTGGAGAAACCGCCTGCTTAGCAGACTGAGAACCAGAATGTGGCTGGTAGTAGATCGTCCTTCAAAAGTCATCCTTGAGGGGTACCACCAAGGCTCCTTGATTATTTGCTCTTTCATTAACATGCAGAATCTAGTGCATCAATGCCTAATGAGTAATTACTTAGCTACATGCATGTCTTTTCATAATATGAGGGCTGTGAAGGCTGATAAAGGAACTGAGTACATCTCCAGGCATTTGCTTCCCACAGAATAAGAGGATGCATACTTGAAAACCAAAAGTAAACCACCATAACACTAATGTCCTCACATTAAAAGGAGCTGAAAACCCAGCTCCTAATTTTATTGCTCTGACCCTTTTAATTCTCAAAAAATAAAAAGCATGAATTTTTACCATTTTGTACTCCATTACGTGGAAATATGTATGCCAAAAAGGCTGTTAACAGATTTTTTTTCTGAAAAATTGATGTTAATAGATATTTCTCACTAGTAACCAGTGACAGCAAAGGGCAGAGGAAAACTGGTTTCATTAGGTGGAATCAAAAGCCCTTTTCTATTCTCAATAAAGTACAGAACTATGGTGTTTATTATTCAAAGCTTCCTCCTTCTCCCCATTCCTGAAGGTCTTCAAGTATTTTTATCATTATGAGCTGTTGGGCAAATGTCAATCAGAGATGGTATAGGTAGATTTAATCTTTCTCAGAGCAAAGGAAAGATTAGATGACATCACGATCTTTCCAAAGCCTAAAATGTTTGTCTTTACTTTTAGATTCCTCTGCCTGCAAGAGGCTTAGCTCCCTTTCCACCTTTTGTATGGAGCTGACAAGACTTTAGATAAGTGGATAAGTCAGCAGAAATAATTCTGCACTCACAAAATTAATACTGACTTTAAAATGTATCCTTCTCTTGGACTGCAAGTACTTTCCAAAGCAACTCCATTCTGTCTTTTTTCCTTCTGAACTCTACTTTCAGTTTTTCTTCAGCTGGTAATTCTGACCACATTTTTGCCATCACTTTGATCCCATTTACTAACCTCTCTAAGCATACTCTTCAGGACCTTGAAAATATTTTCCACATATGGTGTAGTCACCACTACCTCTACACTGTGACTCATTGTTTTTTATTTTGATCGTTGAACTTAACCTCTCTTTCCAATCTCAAATTCTGTAGGATCCAGTACTTACAGAATTCTTACCTTTAAAAATGCTTCTGTCTTCAAAAATCCCACTGGCTTCTCCGTGGTCAAAAAATCTTTCCAACACCATAGCAATGCTCAGGGATTTGAGCCTGACACATTCCCTCACTTCACTTTGCTCAATTTTATCTCTATTTTAATAGCAGCATCTGGCTCACAGTGCCTCCTCTGTCATGCCTGCTTCAGAAGCAGCCCTCTTGCATCTCTGACACCTCATTTCTAAATCACATCTAATACTACTTGAACATGAGATACTGAACACAAGAGCAGCTTGGGCTCTTTTTACAAAAAGATTTTATACAAAATAAATTACAGAATTTATGAACTTAGGCCAGCCATGTAAATAGGGAAACCAGCCTTAAAAAAAAAAAGGCTTAGGGTATTTTGTTGGGTCACTTCTTATTTTAAACACTCCTGAAGAATTATTAATAAACCTTAGAACAACTAGAATAAACCTAACAAGAAAGAAATGTTAAGTTTTCCTTTATACAATGTTGTGATATGTCCTAACAAAGTCGTGTATATTCATATGGTCAATGGTTACATTAATCAGCTTTTAGAGTCAAAAGTGCTTACTTGGGCACTTAGACATCTGAAAAGGCTGTAGAGAATCTTCTACCGTAAGTATTATTTTCTAAAGGCTCAATATTTACTGCTACTTATTTTGCAAATGCACATTTTGTATCCTTAAAGCCATATGCTGTATCAGGGGATGCAGTAATACACAGAACACCCAGGCCTCTCCCAACAAGCAGTAACTTTAAAAAAAATTCTGGATTACATTATACTGTCTTAGGTAAAATAAGAAGGATTGAAGGAAAGATATGGGAGAGAAGAGTAAGGCAAGTCCGGAAATACATGGGAATAAAGATAAAAAAAAAAAAGATAACAAACAGGGAAGGGCTCCAAACCAAAAAGACAGCAGAAATGCCATGCACAGGTTCTGTTATTAGTCAGCTAAACATAGCTAAACTCCCAAAGAAGTTGACCTCCCCTCTCCCAAAACAAACAACTTGAAGGTTGCCTGTAATCAAAATTACCTGTATACTCAAGAAGTGCCAAGAGTATCCGTGCCTTCACCTCTTCAAGAAAAGAGAAGATATATTGAGAACATAGTAAAAAGTATATCACCAACATAATACATTTTCAGTTTCTCATTTTGTATCAGCTTAACTCCAACTTCTTGGGTAGTCCATCTTGATTTATACTTACAAAACAGTAATGAGTCTCCATTTCACATAATTTTACATGTGACTGGATAAAATTGGTAAGAATCAAAAGTACCAACCCTGAGAAAAGAACTAAGAGGCAGCTGCTATCTTAGAGTACCTCTGTTTCAGCTAGCCAGTGAAAGTCCACATATGAAGAATCCTAGTCGTTAGACTTCGAAACACAAGGCCCATTTTCACTGATTTCCCCACAACTACCTCACTTCTCCTTTTTTCCTGCTTCATACTTAAAAAAAAAAATCAAATTATCCTCATGCTGGTGCATATCACAACATCTAGGAAAAATACAACAGCATTTCTGCTTTACTGTCAGTCTTCAGGATTTTATTTTCCTGCACAAAGATTTGGTTTCACTTAACAATTAATGAACTAAAGAAGTACAGAGTTAGCAAACATCTTAATTTAGACTGACAAAAGTTTCATTTTGTAGCTCTTTGAAATGTTTTAATAAAAGAAGTATGACAACATGCAAAATAAACCCCTTATTCTTCCTTTGTTCTTTTTTTTCCTTGAAGTTTACAGGAAAGGACCTTTTCATATAAAATAATAATATAGTTATTTCATCCACATGAGTAGTAAAACAATTTCCAGAGCAGCATGCAAAACAAAACCCCTGTTTAGTACTACGCTGCTTGTATGGACAGAATGACACTGCACTTTTTTTTGTTTGTTCGTTTTAATCAGGACACCAAGCCTTTATACAGTTCCTGTGAAGAACTCTTCTATGTAATTTAGGGTAGCTTTTTAAAATACCTCAAGCTTTCTTTGATTCAAAGATTGGTTCTTTGCTTTACTGCACCTTTCTGTTTGTCTCATCTACCATGGACAACACCAAACTGGGTGTAGGGGAAGCAGTCAATATGCTGGAGAGGAGCTGCTGTTAACAGGGATCTTGACAGGACAGGAACCTGAAGAAGTTCAACACAGGCAAGTGCTAAGTCTTCTATCGTGGACTGAATATGTCCTTGCAACAGTACAGGGTGGGCACTGGCTGGATAGAAAGCAACCCTGCAGAAAAGTACTTGGGTCTCCTGGTGGCCAAGTTGGAGCCAGCAGTGAGTCCTTGCAACACAGAATGGTGTCTTGCATCCTGGTTGCACTAGCCAGGAATTTGAGGGGAGTGATTCTTCCCCTCTATTTGGTATTAGAGTACTCTGGAGTACTGTGCCCAGCTTTGGACTCCTCAGTAATAAGAAAGACAATGACATACTGGAGTGAGTCCAGAAGAGCCCTTTGAAGATGGCCAGGGGGCTAAATACATGCTTTATGAGGAAAGACTAAGAGAACCATGTTTGTTCAGCCTTAAAAGAAAAGGCTCAGGGATTCCTACTGCTGTCTACAACTCCCTCATGGAAGGATGTGGAAAAACAGAGCCAGACTCTTTTTAGAGATGTACAGTAGAAGAAGGAGCTGCAACAGACAGGCTGGAATACAGAAAATTTCAACTAGATGTAAGGAAACAAATTTTTAACATGGGTGGTAAAATACTGGAACAAATTGCCCAGAAAGGTTGTGAAACTGCTGTATTTTAGAGTTACTTGAAACTCAGCCAGACAAGGCCTGAGCAATCTACCCTAAACACACCTGCTTTGAGCAAGAGGTTGGACTAGATGTCCTCTGGAGGTCCTTTCCAACCTACACGACTCATTGATTCTGTGACTATCAGCAAAGCCAAACTGAATTTAGAACAAGACTTAATGTATATATAACATAGCCTAAAACAATCACAAGAACCACGGAGTTGTTCCAAAAATTACCAACATTTATTAGCCTACCGAAATACAGAAGTCCTTAGAATTGTCAAGTCAAATTCAAGACTAGATAATCTTACAGCTAGAGTAGTAAGATATATTCTTTTGACTCTCCATCCCTCTATGGTTACGGTCTACCCAGCAAAAACCCTTACACAAGTGAAACAGCAAGCCTGTTGAGCACACTGTCTACCACCAGGTAATTTAGATGGCTAAATAATCATACTCATTAGCAATGGTGTCCTTTGCCTGGTCTCTTTGTTCCTATCTCGGCATCTCTTGTTTACGTAGTTCCATGTTTAAATTCCGGGGAGCTTTCAGGATGCTTCTTCTTCAGAGTCCTACTCAGCACTCGATAAGCTTGTCTATAGGTCAAGACTGACTACTGCAAAGTAAACTAACTACATAAGAAGTGACGTGTTTTGTGTTTTTAATCAGTTCAGTTCCCTGAACTGGCTCACCATAGACTTAGACAGAGTTAGTGCCAGCACAAAAGGAAGGAAAGGAACACGCACACACATCTGGGATCAGGTTAGGAGAAGACACAGCTGTCCATTTTGGTGGCTGCTAGCCACTAACTACGTCAATCTAAATGTACTTTAAAACCTAAACTCAAAGGGACAGGCAGATTAAAAAGCCACCATAACCTTAAAGAGTGGCAAACTTCCAGCACATCAATTGTTCTACAGTAACAACTATAAGAGGATGTTACTTCACATACTTTCCACTCCTTTCACACATCCAGTATTCTGCGCAGTACTGTTTTAACCCCTGTTCAATGGACCAGCAGAACCAGTAGGGGTTATATGGACAGTTTGGGAATATGTTTTCTTCTGCTAAACCTAATATAATAGGTTTGAACTATGAAACAATATCTACATTTCAGATCATGGAAGTGACATTAGAGTTGACTGTAGCAACCATGCAGTGTGGATTCTGCATATACTTGAACATACCTACACAAAGCCAGAATCTTCCCCCAAGGTGGTCATTAACATGTGGTGACTAAGTTTAAAAAAGAAAAAAACTTTCAGTCTTGATCTGCAACCATACCATATACACACTGCAAAAGGAACTGGCAGTACTCTATACTTCCGAAACTCAGATCCACAGTATCTCAAACACTGTGAAGAATGAACACATGCACAATTAGAGATTACTCTTGAAAACTGCCTGGTGATAAGTCTTTGCCTTAGCTTTCTGCCATTTAAAAGAAAACTTAGAGAGATTAATAGATACATTAGTACCTTGGGTTCTTCGAGTCTGAACACTTGGCTTAGTAACTGAAGATACAACATGGGAATTTTTTTTTTCTTTACTTGAAGAATTTAGACACATTGAGGCTATTAACTTGCAGCTCATTTTATACTGAATTTGCTGGAGTTCTCATTTCAAAAAGCATTTGAAGTATCTACAAATAATGATCTCCTAGTTATGAGAAAATTACAGGACAGAAAAACTCTCCTTTATCCTTGCTATAACAGTCTTCTCCATTTCAAAATATATCACTAGGCAAGAGATTATTTTTAGGTTATTTGTATCAGTAGTGATTTATCTGGGGTTAGAAGAGAACCTTGGATGGTTTCTGTCAGTCGTTTGTTTTTTGACAAATTCCAAATGCTACAGAAGTTTTTACCCCTTCTTGCTATATGGTGTACAAAACAGAATTACCCTCTAGCAATTTCTCTTTAGAGCAGATATGAGCTGTAATGCCAGATGACTTCAAGTTTTTTTTTTAATCTAAAACATGTTTCTTATTTATTCCTTTTTTCATTTTTTTAAATAATAGTAAGACTTGAGGTGCTTTTTTATTATTTTATTGAAATATATTTTTATGGCCTGACTGAAAGGCTCCCTCACTCCTTACCACTAACTTAAATTAATATACCTGTTGATTTTATCAATTATACAATTTTTTCTCTATAATTTAAAATTATTGTACTAGCCACACAACTGTATTTCCTCATGCAGTAACATAGTCATCAATCTCCGAAAGCTGTCCAGAAATTTGACTTGCTCTAGAACTTCTTTTTTTGACCAAATATCCTACTTCCCCCTCCCCGCAAAAAAAAAAAAAAAAAAAAAAAATATATATATATAGAAATGTCTTTTCCTCTTTGCTCTCCTCACACTTTTCTCCTTTTTATCTCTGGAACATACTACTGTCATTTCAGAACTCAGACATAACGTTATAGTCTACTTCATCCTCCACTCCCAATCGCATACAACTTGTCATTAAGCTGGCCAGTTTGGGTTTTGTTTTTCTTCCGAAGGGTCCCTTTTTCCCATCCTTACTGCTAATTATCCTGGTTCCTACTCTAGTCATCCCTCAACTTTTCTCCCTATGCTTTCCAATTTTCATGTTACATACTCTCATGTATATCCAAAGTCTGAAAGCTACATTATTCTTTTTCTGTTTGGTGACTTCTGAATTCCTGTTCTCTCCTGCACCAAAATCAAGCACTTCATCTTCAAAGATCTGTCTTAGCCAACAACTTGTCTTTTTCTCTCTTGGTTTAACAACTTAGTAGGACTAGTCACTTCAAGAAAGCACTTTCATCTTTTCTTTAACTATTTAGCTCCAGATAAATCTTCCCAGGATTTGTATATTATTTCATCAGCGCCACCTCTGTCAACTTGATTAACCTTCTAGGGCTGACTTTTACTGTAATCATAGTGGACTTTTCTTTCTCTAATGATATGGAATGGTAAATGTAAATGAGAAAAAGCAATGTCCACATATGTTTTAGCTTACTGTCAAAAAAGCTTTTTTTTTAAATCTGTGTGAACTTTTTCTGTGTGATTTTTTTAATTGTTCTCCCAATTCCAATAATAATAAAAAGAAAGACTGTCAAATCAAAATGATCATTCTCAAGGCATTTTGAGCTTTCGCATTTCTTCTTAAATACTTACTAAACAAAGCACATTTAAAAAACCCTTAAGATCTAGGAATTCAATGTGTCATTTTTGTGGGGCTCCCATGCCTCCGTCTGCTTTAAATCAGTAATCAGTCCATTTTTTTACAACATGTACTACAAGGCAACAGAACAATAAGAAATTACAAATAGCTGTCGAGATTTCTATGGAAACAAAAATGAGTTAGTTTTCAGTAAGGAGATGTATTTACTGACTTGACTTAAGCATCCGTCAATAATGGTTAAGCATTTTTAGAACTACTGGAGGTTTTATTTACAACAAAAAACTTTTTTACATGGTGGCCAAAGTTGTGTCTGTGGTCTCTGATATAAGAGACAAAAACATCCCCTTTCCTCAAATATGAAAATTCTGCCTTTTACTTAGAAGAATCTTCATGTTTATTTCAAATGGCTTTGAAAATCCTAAGACTTTCTTGAACATGCCCTAAGAGCCATCAGCGGAAACAAGCAGTCAAATTAGTGGCCGTTTTCTGTTTCTTCTGAATCTGGTAAATTGGACAGGAAAAAGAGGGATGTCAGCTGCTGTACCTTGTGCCAGGTTTTCAGTCAGAAATAGCTCAGAACAGTGCTAGTTCTTCTTCTAAGTACCCTGACCATTTGTGGAGACCATAAGTAGAAAAGAGAATACAAGAAATGCAACTCTGAAGGGATAGTTCAAGCACTAAAGTACTTTTAACCATGCTTTGTGCTCACTGATTTCAGTTAGATCCAGCTGCTGGTTGTGTCTCAGGTTCAATTTAGGCCTAAGCCTGTCTATATCACAGCCGTCTCCTAAAGCTGCCTGAGGGGCACATTTCTGCCCTGAATCTTTTCAGCACTGAATGAGATATACCTGTTCCAGACAGGCCTTGTAAACTAAGGTTTGAGAAGCAATTCTTCAATTCCCTTCTCCTGGTTCTCTTTCACATTATTTGGGCCAGGGAACCCACAAAATCCTTGGCTTTCCAGTATCCTTTACATTATACCAACTCCTTCATCACACAGACAGACCAAAATTGCAATGATGATTTGGATCATGATCCTTCAGAGTACTGGAAGGGGAATCAAATTAAAGAAAATACTACAACAGAACAAAAAGCTAAAAAGAGTGACAATGAGGAAGAAGTAGCCTCAGATGAGAATTTTACACCTAAAGCAGCATATTTGATTAAGTAGGTGGCACAGAAAGCGGTGGCTGGAAATCTGTGACAAATGGTCAGATGCCATGGATGTAAAGAGAGTGCCAAGAATATTTAAAGCAGAACTGTTGCTCCAGATAAAGTCTGAGACCCAGTGATGAAGGAAGGCAAGGGAGATTGTGTTGAACAGCACAAGAATAACACATTTCAATATTCAGCTCTCTAAACTGTGACGCCATTTGCAAGCATAACAGTTGCAATAGACTCAGTCAATATAATTTATTAACAAGAGAAAAACTTTTCTAATCTTAATTTCCAAAACACTAGAAAATTTTAGCAGTTGTATTGATCAGTAAACATCAGTATCCCTTCCAAAAAATATCACCGTTACATTACAGCACTATTGTAACAAGAGGAGTTTTGTATTACGGAGAGGCAGCAGGTCACTTGGACCTTGCTGAACTCTCCTATGAAATTTTTGGTGGATTTAAAATGAAATTTATTTCAATGATCTGAGCTCAACATGAGAGTATAAGACCAATGCTGAAATACGGTAATTAATGCTAATTATGGCACACAAGGTATAAAAAAATGGCCCCTTAAGCTTCAGAAGGCTATTAAAGGGGGTTAGAGGACTATTAAAGAGACATATTTTCATTCTTTCCGAGCTGTGAAAGAAACGATGATTAATTCTTGAATATACTTGAAACCTATAATATATAGATTTAGGCCAGAGTTAGACCTTTAGAAAAAAAGGATCCAAAAAATCTTTGTTTTTTACTCTGTAACAACCATCATTAAACTAAAATAAGTATTCTTAGACCTGGAGAGTCTACTCTCTGTGATCAACTCCAAAATTAAGACATATTTTTGTGTTTGTTATCATAATTTTCTAGCTCAGGGTCTGAAAATATGATTGTATCTGAAATGAGAAATACCGAAACTCACAGAGGGAGGAGTTTGTTTGTTTTGGCTGGTGGGTTCTTGGAGGTTTATCTTAATATAACTTTTCACAAAGTTCTTTTCCAGTGATCTGAAATTTAGCAGTTTCTTTATGGGATATCATGGAAATTAGCCAACAAAATGAAAGAAGGTAAACATACACACAAATCATTTAAAACTACAATTGACACAACTTTTCGTTCCCACGCAAAGACTCATACTGCAGTACTGCACTGTGCAGCTTATAAAAATCATTTTGCTCATTATTTCTATTTTCTATTAAGTAGCATAAGAAACAAGGCAGAAGCTACAGCTAAGATTTTCTGGAGAGAAAATCCTGTTTACTTTCTTATACAGTCAGGGAACAGGGCAGAAAACCTCAGATCACATTGCTACCCAGCAGAGAAGAGGAAGAGAGTACTAGGTCACTCTTAGGTGGTGGTGGGAGGGAGGCAGAGTAGATGAAGGAGTCATAGAATCAGCTGTGATGGAGTGAGTGAGTGAAAACCAGTGGAAGTGGTTTGGCTTCATGGCAGAGGAGGGAGACGGGGAATGATCCCAAACCAATGATAGATGAAAGTAAAAAGTCCTGCAGAGTCTTCCTCTTTCAATATAGGTGGTAGGAAGAAAGGGAGTCTAATTTCAAAGAAAGCCCCATTTTGATGCACCAATCTCACAAAGTTCTGTGACAGATCAGTCAAGCTCCCTGGACTTCAGCAGCAACTGAAATAACCCAGCGCAGTATATGGTTCCAGCTCCTCATCTGTTTTCACTTCTGAAAGAGACAATTTTCTCTTCTACATTTGAAGTCAATAAGGTGAATATCAGACAGCTGATACGTGCTCCACTAACCTGGTTATCAAGAACACAAAGATGTCCTCACATTCAGGTATTTCCCATAGACTGCATGGTGTTTTGCAAACCTTGCCTAGCAGCAACATCAAGCTGTTATATCCTTCACTTTCCCTTCCCCCAGCTCTCTATCATAAACTAAGTGTTTATTTATGGTCATGTTCTTCTTACTAACCTTCCACAAATTTTCTGATATTCTGGGCAAGACTTCGGACACTACTGGGAAGGTTCCAAGGGTCTTGCTTAATGTGGAGTCGTAGCCTCTTTGGACAGCTAAGCTTCGGTTCCATTTCCTG